TATATATATATATATATATATATATATATATATATATATATATCCATTTAAGTACTTTATTTAAAGGCTTATAATCACAAGTCTTGGAACTCCTTTCTTTTTCTACTGCTTTTTCTACATAGAATGCAGAGCAGCTCCATGGAGATGCAGTTTTCCTTATTAACCCTTTATTTAATAATTCATCTATTTCTTTTTTGCATATCTCTAAAAGTCTTGCATTCATTTGAATAGGTCTAGCTTTTGTAGGTATTTTACTTTCTTCAAATCTCTCTTCATATGGTAGGCTTATCATATGTTTCTTTCTTTCCCAGAAAGCATTAGGTAATTCATTACAAACTTCTGTTTCAATCTTATTCCGGATTTCTTCAATTTTTCTTTTAGTTTCTTGAAGAGATAATTGCTCATCTATTTGTTTATATTTTACTTCTGTTTTTAAATAGCACAAAAAATTTTCTTTATTTTTCATATTTTGTTTTACATTATTGATTTCCTTTATTTTAGATTTATCTATAAATTCAAATTTTATCTTATGACCATCTATACTTGATTCAATTCTTGTACTATCTATTGTTAAAGGGTAAAGTATACTAAGAAATGGTGCTCCAAGTATTATTGATTGGCTTAGCCCTTTAACCATGATGAATGGTGGTTCAAAACAATTTCCATTATTACAAACGGCTGTATTTGATAATTTATAATTAATAATTAGTCTGCTTTCATCAACAATATTAAGTATTTGTGTTGTTTTATCAAAATATTTAGTAGGGACTAATCCCTCATTAATACAATTTAGATCGGCCCCTGAATCTATCAAGGCTAAAGATTGGAAACTATACTCATTTTTTACTATGATTTTTATTAATGTAAACCATTTTTGAGTAATTACTCTATTTATTATGTTTAAGCAATTATTATTTTCTACTGTTTCTTTATTAGACTCACAAGTTTCAGGTATATCAGTGGTTATTAATTTATGAGATTTTATCAATGGATCAAAGTCTAGTTCCTCATCTTCTGATAGATTTTCTGAGAATTCAGTATTTAATTCTAAAATTCTAATTCTATTTCGTAAATGTTGAATGTCTGTTTTAACTTCATTAATTTCTTGTTTTAATTCTGGAATGGTAGGTTCTCTATGAATATCTTCTCTTCTATTAATTCTTCTAATTATTTCTGAGAAACTATATTCCTCTGGTGGTTTTATTAAAGAAGCAGGCTTATCTTTTGCTATCTTTATATACTGAGTTATTATTTCTCTCTTTTTATCTGAATCAGTTATTTGATCTACTAAATCTAAGATTAGATTTTCTTCATTAGTAAGAGTATTGCAATAACAACCCTTCATTTTATCTTATGATTCTTTATCTGTTTTAGAACTTTCTAGAATTACATCTTCATCTGTAATTATTCCAACTAATGATTCATTACTACTATTTGTAGAAATGCTGGAAGAGCTCTCATCAGAACTATTATACAATTAGATAATATCATATATTTGATTTCTTATATTCTCATCTAATATTAGAGTATCTATTTTCTTTTTTACTTTACAATTACTTTTATAGAGTCCTATTTTTCCACACTTGTAGCAAACAGGTAATTTCTTTTTTCCCTTTTTGTATTTATTTTTAGCAGAGAATTTTTTAATAAATTTTTCTTTTTTATCACTTTTTATTTTTGGGTTTTTATATTTTTTGTTTCTATTATCTATTCTTCTTTTCTTATGTGCTTTATTTGGAGAGATATTAATACTATATCCGAACTGTGCACAAAAATCTCCTAATTCCTTTTTTCCTGTCATTTTTTGTTTATCTAATTGCTTTCTCAATTTCAGGTCTGTACACAGGGCAAGTCCTTCAACACATATTTCAGCAGAGAGTTCTCCTAATGTATATGAAGAATATGGTATTATTCCCCCATTTTTATTTTTGAGTCTGTTTTGGACTTTTTCTGCAAAGAGATAAGGTAGGCAGCAATAAATTTTTCTTTCTAGTGATCAGCACTGCTGTCTTCTCTGGTTAATAATCTAGAGAAAAATACATCTTTATACCACTTAGAATGTGATAATGTAGGGCATCTTAGATTAGAAAGTAAATATTCTGATCTAGCTTCTAATAAAGATGTACTTTCTACGAAATGGAGGTTTATGGTATATATAGGAGTATTAACAGCGTCACTTTCGCTGTAAGGTATGTCTTGGTTTTGGTCATTTTTTACAACCCATTGCCTAGTAGCATTAAGTATCTGGTTTTTAGTGATTTCATTCATATGAAAATCCCACCAACCTCTAAGCCATCCAGTGAAACCACATACTATGGCTTTTGCAACTTCTTGAGCAAGATTTCCTGCAATTTTGCAGGCAGATAAGTACATTGTCATATGTTTCATAGTGTCCAGTATTTGATGGTCTGACATTCCATCTATATTCCAATTTACTATAGTTCTGCCAGAATATGACACTGTATGTGATATTAAATCTTCTTCAAATTGAATATCTACAGGAGTAGGCCGAGTATGGTACATTTTTTTTTGAGCAGTAGGGATCCATCGTCTTCCATGATCAATTCTATTGATATTAAGAGTTTTATTATGAGTTTCTTCTTTGAAAGCATTTTCTATATTTTCTATAGTATTATGGATTATTGGTTCTTCTTGGAGAGTCATTGCCTCCGATTCTTTAAGAATAATCCCTTTCCCTTTACTATCTTTTATTTGCATTTGGGATAATTTTGTTACGAGCTGGTTTACAAGTTTTGCATTATCCTCTTTTTCTCTTACGTTAAATCTATTTTTATTGATTTCAGGAGGTGGCTTAAATAAAACTGCTTTCTTCTTTTCCTCTATTTTTTCTTGAGATTGTCTTATAATATTTTCTATTCTAGTTGTTTGCTTTCCTATTGTTTTGAAACAAAGATTAGTATAATTATTTTATTCCATAATATGCGGTAACAATTCTATTTTATGAACATGCTCTCCAGGGTTCATCTTATAAGGTACGGCCTTGGTTTCTGTAACAGTCATAGATTCTGATGAACTTTTATCAGCGCTCTTCATTTGAAGAGATTTCTCTGGAGGATGTATACTAGAAATATTTTCCCTTTCACAAGTATGAAATACCTGATATTGTGATTTTAGAGTATTTATTCCAAAATCTGGGATTGGAACTTCTATTTCTTTGAGGGTTTTGATTAACCAATCAAAGAAGCAAATATTATGCTTATTATTTTTTATAAATTTATTATCTTTTTTATGAATCACATTAAGCAGCTCTTGTGAAAATTCTTTCAAATACCAATTTCTTATTTCTTTATTTTGTTCAGATAGGTAATCATTTTTTAAGAATTCATAATCTACCTTTTCTGAAGCCTGCAGTGTTAATACTTGGAAATCTAAATCGAAGTTATTATTATTTATAGACTCAGTCTCTATGCATTTATATTCTGGTATATGTATATTATTCTGAGTTCTTATTA